GTTGCGGCAGTGATTGCAGCTTTACCCGGGATGTTCGCCAGTAAGGATGTGTTGCGGCAGTGATTGCAGCTTTACCCGGGATGTTCGCCAGTAAGGATGTGTTGCGGCAGTGATTGCAGCTTTACCCGGGATGTTCGCCAGTAAGGATGTGTTGCGGCAGTGATTGCAGCTTTACCCGGGATGTTAGCCAGTACAGTAATAATGTGTTACGGCAGTGATTGCAGCTTTACCCGGGATGTTCGCCAGTAAGGATGTGTTGCGGCAGTGATTGCAGCTTGCAGTGTTAGCGGTAGGATGTATTTAAGGCGGTGATTTGCAAACTTTACCGGGATGTACGTATGTGTGTATTTGCGGCAGTGATTGCGGCTTTACCTGCGGGGATGTTAGCCGTAAGGATGTGTTGGCGGTGATTGCAGCTTGCAGGATGTTGGCCAGTACGGTAATAGTAATGATGCGGCGGTGATTGCAGCTACGGGATGTAGTAGGGATGTGTTAGGCGGTGGTTACGCACGCGGCAGAGGATGTTAGCCAGTGCAGTAATAATGTGCGGCGGTGATTGCAGGCACTGCAGTGTTGCGTAGTATGGGATTAATGCGGCGGTGATTGCAGCTTTACCGGGATGTTAGCCAGTAAGGATGTGTTCAGAAGGTGATTGCAGCTTTGCGGGGATATTGTAGTAAGGATGTGCGGCGGTGATTGCAGCTTTGCGGGATCAGCCAGTAAGGATGTGTTAAGGTGATTTTGCAGCTTTACCCGGGATGTTCGCCAGTAAGGATGTGTTGCGGCAGTGATTGCAGCTTTACCCGGGATGTTAGCCAGTAAGGATGTGTTGCGGCAGTGATTGCAGCTTTACCCGGGATGTTCGCCAGTAAGGATGTGTTGCGGCAGTGATTGCAGCTTTACCCGGGATGTTCGCCAGTAAGGATGTGTTGCGGCGGTTACGCGCGGGATGTTCGCCAGTAAGGATGTGTTGCGGCAGTGATTGCAGCTTTACCCGGGATGTTAGCCAGTACAGTAATAATGTGTTGCGGCAGTGATTGCAGCTTTACCCGGGATGTTCGCCAGTAATAATGTGTTGCGGCAGTGATTGCAGCTTTACCCGGGATGTTCGCCAGTAAGGATGTGTTGTGGCAGTGATTGCAGCTTTACCCGGGATGTTAGCCAGTACAGTAATAATGTGTTGCGGCAGTGATTGCAGCTTTACCCGGGATGTTAGCCAGTAAGGATGTGTTGCGGCAGTGATTGCAGCTTTACCCGGGATGTTAGCCAGTAAGGATGTGTTGCGGCAGTGATTGCAGCTTTACCCGGGATGTTCGCCAGTAAGGATGTGTTGCGGCAGTGATTGCAGCTTTACCCGGGATGTTAGCCAGTACAGTAATAATGTGTTGCGAGCCTTAGTAAGCGAGCCTTCTGCTCTAGGTGTTGGGGCTGCTAAGATCTGAGATAATGATTTCAGTGGAAATGGTGTCTCTGGCTTAAATAGGTAGAGGTTAGTTACGTGAAATAATTATTTCCACATGCTAGCTGTTTATAGTATGTAGATATAGCAAGACATATAACTCCCATGGTCATTGAGATACTTGCCCTATTACCATGGTGACCACATGCGGAATCAAATGATGATAATGAAGGCCAATCTTTAGCCTATTTGTCTGCTTGCATTTTTCATGGCAAAACAATACTGTCTGGCCAAGACTTCTCCTGACTTGAAGGAGCTACCATGATGGAAAAAACAGGTGATCTAACAAAAGACCCCACAGGTAGGGACACCAACAATCAGATCAGCTGCCAAACCATCACAAAAGAGACTACATAAAATATATTTAACAGAAATGCACTATACATCGCTACAAAATATGCCATCGATGACATTCTAACATTCCTGACATTGTAAAACCCCATGTGTATTTAATTCTGATTGTGATGGAGTCATTTTAATCAGTCTGTGTAACTCTTCGATGCAGGTGGAAACATGTCTGATTACCATATCCGGCTGTACCAGGACTCTGATTACGACAGGGTGAGAGACCTCTTTGCAAAAGGCATTCTGGAACACACACAAGTGGCCTTCAGCCATGCCCTCACCCTTCCACACATTTGGATTTTTATGACTGGTGTTTTTCTTCTTCCTCTGCTGGCCTCATGTTCATTTATAATCTCCGTTCTGTCTGTTTTTCTGGTTTTAGCTGGTTTGTGGTTAGGCACTCAGTATCTCTATATATCTTATGTTAAACATGCCCTTTCCGATGACCTGTTGGATGTCAAGAAGTACTACCTGCAGAGGGATGGTTACTGCTTCTGGGTGGCTGAGTCTGCTGGAGAAGTCGTGGGTACTGTAGCGGCTACACCATCCTTTTACCCTGGAGGAGAAAGGCATATAGAACTGAAAAGGATGTCAGTTGCCCAGAGCCATAGAGGCAAAGGGATTGCAAAGGCCTTGTGCAGGACACTCATTGATTTTGCACGAAAACGTGGGTGTGAAGCCGTGATCTTGGGGACCTCACATAGCCAACGTGCAGCTCAAATCCTGTACGAAGCAATGGGATTCAGATTGCAATCCTCGGAGGTTATAGAACACATTTTTGGAAAAGCAGTGAATTTTAAGGTGTTAACATACAGATATGACATCCCAACAAATAAACTGTGAATTTTTTATTTTTATTTTTTTTAACAATTAATATAGTAACATTTTCCACAGTGATTTTATAATGTGAAATAAGTAGCAAATAAAATATTAACTCCAAGTATAAGTTGTAACAGAAAGGAAAGGGGATGCTGCTTGAAAAAGAGCTTACAATCTAAAGGAGTTAAAGTAAAAATAATTTATGAAGATGGAGGCTTTGATCACCAGGTAGAGAGGCTGACACTGTCAGTTTAACCAATTAAAGATGAAGAGAAATTGGGCTATAGTGCCACTGTTAGGGTTATTTAGTGAAGTGTTGATGGTTGGCAATTTAAAGTGAATGTAACATCTTAGACCACAATAACATAACTTTGTTGGGTCATTTTTCCAATGTAGATATTTCAGGGTAAACTTTGCTGCTCCCTTTAAATTCTTACTTAAATAACTATTTTAGGGTTATTCACTAACGTTAGAGAGGCAGGACAGACCGGGTTAAGGAATTATGAGTTGCCTTAAAACCCATCTCTTTAGGAAAGCTTATGGCCTCCCAGAGTAACCTCTACCTCACATACCTGTCTCTTGCTCTATCCTATAGGGCAGCACTATAGGATAGAGCTCTCCTCCAACTCTGCTTCACTCCCACCTTATTTGATTGATATTTCCTGTCCTAACGTGTCTTACACCCCACCTCCTACAGACTGTAAGCTCGTTTGAGCAGGGTCCTCTTCAACCTATCGTTCCTGTAAGTTTTCTTGTAATTGTCCTATTTATAGTTACATCCCCCCTCTCATAATATTGTAAAGCGCTACAGAATCTGTTGGTGCTATATAAATGGCAATAATAATAAGAATAATAACAAAGAACAAAAGAAGGTCACTGGCAGAAAGTAGTGACTGATAAAGGGCGTCTGTGTGATTTAGGGAGGTAATAGTTTTGAAGGTTATGTATTGGTATTTTCCTGCCATTGTGAGGATTGACAAAGGGTTGAATTACAGGTAAGTATACACGTGTACTTATCCAAACCTCAGTTACTTATTGGATTATGTCTGGGCCTCTTGTTTCTGGTTTTGCCAACACTTCATGAAGTTCTCCGGCTTGTTCAGTAACTGTTTGTTTTGCAATGACATTTTGACACGATCCTCACCCATGCAAGCGGTTAAAGGGACACTCTGCTGTCCCCAAAAAAACAAACCCAGAAAATATTAGTTGATACGCCTTGAAAAAAAGTGCATGTATTTAATTGTGCATTTTATCATTGGAAATATTCCTAAAACAGTGATCATTAGTCAGTGTGGTTTAATATAAGAACAGTGACTGAGTCACACCACACAAAAACAAAAGTTTTAAACTTTAGAAAAACAGACTTTTCTAAAATTAGAATATGGGTAGAGGAGTCATCATCAGACTGGAGCAATTTAAATGGAGTCCAAGAGAAATGGGATTATTTAAAACTTGCACTATTGAAGGCAACAGAAAATTGCATTAGGCTTGTCAGTAAAAGCAAAAAATTCAAGAAGCCACTGTGGTACTCCGCAGATGTGGCCAAAATAGTTAAAACAAAAAGTTAGCATTTAGGAATTATAAAAAAAAAACCAGAGTAAGGAAGACAAAATGATCTATAAGATTAGGCAGAAAGAGGCTAAGCAAGTTATAAGAGCTTCCAAATCACACACAGAAGAGAAAATAGCACAGTCAGTAAAAAAGGGGGATAAAACATTTTTTAGATACATAAATGAGAAAAGAAAAGTAAAACAAGGATTAGTTAGATTAAAAACAAAAGAAGGAAGGTATGTAGAAGAGGATAAAGGTCTAGCTGACTGCCTCAATTAATATTTTTGTTCTGTATTTACAGATGAAAATGAAGGAAAGGGACCTCAGTTAGGAAAAAGGACAAATAAATAATTTATTACATGTGAGTTTACCGAGGAAGAGGTTCTATTTCAACTGTCAAAAGTAAAGACAAATAAGGACCTGATGGAATACACCCAAAGCTATTAAAAGAGCTTAGTGGTGTACTAGCAAAATCATTAACAGATTTATTTAACTAATCATTGTTAACAGGAGTAGTCCCAGAAGACTGGAAGTTAGCGAATATTGTGCCCATTCACAAGAAAAGTAGTAGGGAGGAGTCGGGCAACTACAGGCCAGTAAGCCTTACTTCAGTAGTGGGGAAAGTGATGGAAACCATGTTAAAGGATAGGATTGTTGAACATCTAAAATCACATGGATTTCAAGATCAGAGACAACATGGGTTTAGGGAGATCATGCCAAACTAATCTTATTGATTTTTTTTTTTTGATTGGGTAACTAAAATAATAGATCCGGGTGGTAAAATAGACCTTGCTTACCTAAATTTCAGTAAGTCTTTTGACACTGTTGCACATAGAAGGCTTCCGTTTGGATTTCACTATTGTTGAATGGGTAAGGCAGTGGCAGAGTGACCGCCAACTGAGGGTTGTAGTCATTGGAGTATATTCGAAGCTTGGACTTGTCACCAGTGGGGTACCTCAGAGATCTGTACTTCTCTGGACCCATTCTCTTTAATATTTTTATTAGTGATAAGCTATGTCTTTTTGCTGATGATACTAAGATATGTAACAGGGTTGATGTTCAAGGAGGGATAAGCCAAATGGCAAATGATTAAGTAAACTAAATAAATGGTCAGAGTTGTGGCGGCTGACATTTAATGTGGATAAGTTCAAGATAATGCATCTTGGACGTAAAAACCCAAGGGCAGAGTACAGAATGTTTGATAGAGTCCTAACCTCAACATCTGAGGAAAGGGATTTAGGGGTGATTATTTCTGATGACTTAAAGGTAGGCAGACAATGTAATAGAGCAGCAGGAAATGCTAGCAGAATGCTTGGTTGTATAGGGAGAGGTATTAGCAGTAGAAAGAGGGAAGTGCTCATGCCATTGTACAGAACACTGGTGAGACCTCACTTGGAGTATTGTACACAGTACTGGAGACCGTATATTCAGAAGGATATTGATACCTGTCATGCCAAAAGCATGAGTTGGTGTTTGATGTGTGTTTTATTTATGTTAAGAGTTGTTTTTTTTTGTAAACCTTGGGATGACATTTATTGTGGTCTTTGATCTGGCACCAGGCTTAGACCATAAAACATCTAGATAGCCATCACCAGAGGTGGACACAAGGAATGTCATAGAGTGGGCAATAGACTGCCAGACCAGCCCCCTCTGATCCCCCCCAGGGGTCTGCCCACTGAGAAACAACTAGTTTAGATATATGAGGGTGTTGGACTATCCAGGGAAGTCAGTTATTCATTTTTCTTTTGTCAGTAACTTCTAGGAGACCTATACCATCTAAGACTCCCACAGGAATTCTATATGGGGTAAATATATGTAAGGAATTTCTTGTGTTTTCTCCTATTTTATTTTATGTACTGTTTTGCAATTTGTTATCTGTATGTCATTTATTTCTGTATTGTGTACTCAGCACTATGAATCTTTTTTTGTCAGATTAAATGTTTACTTAATCAGCTTGTGTCTCTGTTCTCTATGAGCTTCACTCTCCAGAGGAAAGCTCAGGTAAACACGTTACCAAAAAGGGTTAACTATATATGTTTTATCAGTAAAAGTAGAACTGTGATACTATAATTCTCCTGTGTGTGGGGTAACCTAAGACGCCCGGGTTTAAAAGTCTTGGTGGTGGCAGTAGAGTAAAGTGTATTAAGGGGGTTAGTGTAGAAGGGATTGCAGGGGTTAATTGAGTGGTTGCTGGGACTAGCAACAGGTAACCAGGGGTCTGGTGTCATTAACCCTGTCACTTCCACACTCTCCCCACTGTCTCGGCTGGGCCTATAGCCCACGCACGTGACAAACTGGCGGCAGCTAGTGGGATATATTTAGAGATTTTTAGTGCTTGCTAGATTTTACCTGTAAAGGGGGTCTTAGCACTAAAAGAAATTGCATACTTGTTTTGTGTAATTTCCAAAGACCAAGCTCAGTGCTGATTTAAAATACATACAAAGTGCAAAACAGTTCTCCCCTCCCATCTTTTGTTTTTCTTTCTCTATCCTATTTGTGAATATGGAGGCCTATCGCAAACAATCAAAAGAGGCCTTGGAATTGTTGTGCCAAGAAAAGAATTTACTAACTTTTGGCAAAAATAAGGCACAACTTATTGCTGACCTTGTGGAGGCTGACAGCCATATTTTCCAGCCAGAGACGGATACTGAAAGGGTTACCGAGCTCCCTAATACTGCAGGAGTGTTGCTTACTGAAATGCCTGGTGGTTGTACCCCTCAAAACATTAAGGACATTTGCTCAACTGATTTATTTCGGCAACTGATGGCTGCAAATCCTCAGGAGGCCCTGCATGTGATGATCCAACAGCAGGCTGCAGAAAGGGAATCTGCAGAGAGGCTAGCCGAAAGGGACGCACAAAGGAGACATGAGCTGGAACTTGCCAAACTGCAATTTACCCTTCAGTCCTCACTGAACAGCAATGCATCAGAGTCCAGCACACGTAGGTTCCGTAAGGATGATTTTCCTTCCCTCGAAGAAGGGACAGATTTGGATGTATTTTTAAAAAGTTTTGAGAAAGTATGCAGGCAGCATCAACTACCCTCAGACCAGTGGGGCAGATATTTAACTCCACAATTGAAAGGGAAAGCCTTGGATGTGTTTTGTGTCCCTTCCCCCAGAGACTGATAACAACTATGAGGCAACCAAATCTGCATTGCAAAAAACTTTTAACCTTACTCCTGAGTCTTACAGGAAAAAGTTTAGGAGTATGCAGCAATGCCCATCATCCAGCTGCATTCTATATATTGCACAATTAGAAACCACGTTCCAGCAATGGGTAACAGGAGTACAAGCTACTACCTATGAAGCCCTTAATGACTTAATGGTCCTGGAGCAGTTCTTGCAGACCCGGAGCCCTAATGTACGAGAGTGGATTTTGGAAAGAAAGCCAAAAAATGCTAGGGCTGCTGCAGAACTGGCAGATGACTATGCCGACATCCATGCACCCACATCCAGGCGTGGACTTGTGTCAGCTGCTACTTCGACCTGGAGAGAAGCTACAGTTCAATCACCACCTGTAAGATCTGCAGTGAGAACTTCACCGCCGACTGCCAGCGTAGCCGGGGCTATGTCAAGTGAGTCAGATGCCCGCCGTTGTTTTCGATGCAACCAGATTGGTCATCTGAGCAGGACTTGCCCCACTAGGAATATGCCCTCACCAGCCCGTGGAGGGGCACCATCAGTTTTGCTTGTGGGTGGGTCTGTGGGGAAACGAGAGGATAACCTGCAGAGTGTAATTGTGGGTGACCGAGTGACCATGGGACTGAGAGATACTGGAGCTTCCTTCACCCTGGTGCGACCTGAAGTGGTAAATACGGAGGACATAATCGCTGGAAGAACCATGTCCATCAAAGGAATTGGGGGTGTACGCCCCGCTGTGCCCTTGGCACGTGTGTACCTTGATTGGGGTGCGGGCAAAGGTTTGCGGGAAGTGGGGGTTTCGGAGGATATCCCTGTTAATGTTCTGTTGGGGAATGATTTGGGCAGGATGTTCTGTCACTATGCTCCAGCGGACACTGTTTGTGAGCCAGAAGGGCTGACTGCTCCACCTAAGGTATTGTGTGAAACTTTGGGAGACATTGTGAAGTGTGATTGCTGGGAGGGAGAGCAGGGTGTGGATAAATATCTACCTGTAACTGAACCAGTGATGTCTACCAAATGTGAGATAGGGGTGAGTAGTGATGTGCCTGTATCAAAATACTGTGAGTCTGGGATGTCAGAGAGTAAGGGGGAGGAGGAAGGTGAGAGCCAGGGATGTGTACCACTAGTTGCAGTGGTAACAAGTCAACAGTGGGTCAGGGCTGCAGCAGTCTGAGGTGCTATGTGAGATTCTGAGAGGAGGGCCTGCCTTGGAGAAGAAATTATGTGAGTGTGTGCAAAATTCTGTATCTGATCAAGGGGGGTCAAATGTGTCCTGTGAAAATGTATGGGAAAAGCCTTCCAGCGAGAGGGGCCTCAAGGAATATATGTGCCTGAAGCAGATGTATGTGATGCACTGGGTGAAAATGTGAAGGGACAGCAAGGCTATGAGGGAGAGCAGAGGGTGTGGGAGCTTTACTCTGCGCCAGACTTAGCCAGTTTCCAAAGTTCTGTATGTGTGATGACCTGGAGTGAAAGTGAGGGGCACGGACAGACTCCGCCTGTGGGTCCAGGAAGGATGGCTGCAGGGAAACATACTGTTGGAGGAACCAGGAACCTTGTCAGTTTATCACAACTCACGCATACACCTAAGCAACTTTCTGATTGTGAACCAAAGGTTCAGAGTCTGATAGTGCAACAAGCCCAGCAGACAGACCGCAAAATGAAAGAGATGATGGGTGTTGATACAGCACATCTATCCTGGGAGTGTTCTCTGTCTGCTTTTTTGTGTGCTTACCGGGGAGTGCTGCAGAAATCCATTGGTTTCTTCCCTTTACAGCTACTACATGAGCGCAGTGGGTGTGGTTTAAGGGATGTTACCAGAGATCGATGGGAAATTGAAACAGGCAAATCAGGCATGTTGAGGGTGTAGCTGTGGTATGGACTGATCACAACCTGCTGCAGGTGACAGGTAACAATGATAAACTGCTCCATTGGAGCCCTATCCTCCAACAGTATAATTTCACTGCCCGGCACAAAAAGGGCAGCTTGCATGGGAATGCAGATGGCCTGTCTCGGCAACTAGAGGGTTAATGGTAGACAGATAAATCAGCCTGTGGCTGAATTTTTCTGTCCACCATCTTAAGGGGGAGGTGTCATGCCAAAAGCATGAGTTGGTGTTTGATGTGTGTTTTTATATATGTTAAGAGTTGTTTTTTTTTTGTAAACCTTGGGATGACATTTATTGTGGTCTTTGATCTGGCACCAGGCTTAGACCATAAAACATCTAGATAGCCATCACCAGAGGTGGACACAAGGAATGTCATAGAGTGGGCAATAGACTGCCAGACCAGCCCCCTCTGATCCCCCCCAGGGGTCTGCCCACTGAGAAACAACTAGTTTAGATATATGAGGGTGTTGGACTATCCAGGGAGGTCAGTTATTCATTTTTCTTTTTGTCAGTAACTTCTAGGAGACCTATACCATCTAAGACTCCCACAAGAATTCTATATAGGGTAAATATATGTAAGGAATTTCTTGTGTTTTCTCCTATTTTATTTTATGTACTGTTTTGCAATTTGTTATCTGTATGTCATTTATTTCTGTATTTTTTACTCAGCACTGTGAATCCTTTTTGTCAGATTAAATGTTTACTTAATCAGCTTGTGTCTCTGTTCTCTATGAGCTTCACTCTCCAGAGGAAAGCTCAGGTAAACACGTTACCAAAAAGGGTTAACTATATATGTTTTATCAGTAAAAGTAGAACGGTGATACTATAATTCTCCTGTGTGTGGGGTAACCTAAGACGCCCGGGTTTAAAAGTCTTGGTGGTGGCAGTAGAGTAAAGTGTATTAAGGGGGTTAGTGTAGAAGGGATTGCAGGGGTTAATTGAGTGGTTGCTGGGACTAGCAACAGGTAACCAGGGGTCTGGTGTCATTAACCCTGTCACTTCCACACTCTCCCCACTGTCTCGGCTGGGCCTATAGCCCACGCTCGTGACAATACCTTAGAGAGGGTTCAGAGAAGGGCTACTAAACTGGTTCATGGATTGCGGGATAAAACTTACAAGGAAAGGTTAAAGGATCTTAACATGTATAGCTTGGAGGAAAGACGAGATAGGGGGATATGATAGAAAGATTTAAATACATAAAGGGAATCAACACAGTAAAGGAGGAGACTATATATTTAAAAGAAGAACTACCACAACAAGAGGACATAGTCTTAAATTAGAGGGGCAAAGGTTTAAAAATATCAGGAAGTATTACTTTACAGAGAGGGTCATGGATGCATGGAATGGCCATCCAGCTGAAGTGGTAGAGGTTAACACAGTATAGGAGTTTAAAGGACCACTATATTGCCAGAAAAACATACTCGTTTTCCTGGCACTAAAGTGCCCTGAGGGTGCCCCCATCCTCAGGGTCCCCCTCCTGCCGGGCTCTGGGGGGAGAAAGGGGTTAAACTTACCTCTTTCTCCAGCGCCAGGGGGGAGCTCTTCTCCTCCTCTCCACCTCCTCGGCTGAATGCGCATGCACGGCAAGAGCCGCGCGCATTCAGCCAGTCTCATAGGAAAGCATTCACAATGCTTTCCTATGGACGCTGACGTCTTCTCACTGTGAAAATCAATGTGAAGACCGTCAAATCACGTGAAAATCAATGAGACAGCCACTAGAGGCTGGATTAGCCCTAATATAAACATAGCAGTTTCCACTTCATTAAGCTTAAGTTGTCTGGGTGCCTATAGTGGTCCTTTAAGCATGCGTGGGATAGGCATAAGGCTATCCTAACTGTAAGAAAAGGCCAGGGACTAATGAAAGTATTGAGAAAACGTATCTGCCGTCACATTCTATGTTTCTATTTTGCAAAACCTGCACGTCTCTTGTCTGCAGCCTTTGCAAACTTCTAACCCCCTTCTAACCCCGCCCAGACTTTCTGTGGCTGTCCAATCACAGACTCCTAATCCAGCTCAATGAGACGTCTTTACAAGGCAGATGCCCTAAACAATTGTCTCCCTCCCGGTCGGATTTACATATCAGGAGCCTGTAAACACTCAATTTGTATAACACCCTCTACTCCCCAACTCAAAAAAAGTCAGATAAAGCAAGAATGAATGTGCTAACTGGACATTGCAGGATTAAAAACATCTAACCAGACATACAGTCATTCGACAACTGTATATGTACATGCATGTTTCTGCTCTGCTTGTAATGTATGTGTTAGACCCTGTGAGAGTGTAAATGCACGCAGGGATAAAGATAATGTTAGAAGTAGATTGGGTAAAGGGGTGTTCAGGTTAGAGAGGGGTTAATACATAAGGTGTTTAGTGTTAGAAAGATTAACAGCTAAAGAGGGGTTAAAGTTGCATTGTAAGGGCTGTTTAGGATTATTGGGTTTAGGGTTGGAGTTGGGTTAAACTTGGTATTAAGGTGCATGATATGTTTAACCCCTTAAGGACAGCAGGCGTGCTCTAAATGCCTGTGAGCAGCATAGCACGTCCCCGCCATCCTATGTACTTACCCGCACGCCAACGATCCCACGCCAGCGATCGTGGTGGGGGGACTTACCTGCCATGCCAGGCAGTCCTCCTACTGCCCTACCGGCCCTCCTGGGCCATGTGATCGCAGTGCCTGCAATGGCAGGTAGTCCCCCTGCTGCCTGAAAAAAAGTAAAATAAAAGTTTTAAAAACAGTTTAAAATAAAATATATACCTAGAATATATATACTGTCTACGTGTATTTTAATAAAAAAAAATATATATATATATATATATATATATATAAATATGCAAATACGTTAAAAAATAATTAAAAATATATGTGTGATTCCGTTCTAACTGTATTTTGTTGTTAATATATAGATCTCAAAATACATGTAGAATGAAATATCTATATACAGAAGTGTGTACATATATATCTCTCTCTATCTCAAACAATAAGTTTGGCACTCTGCCTATTTATATACAAAAATAAAAATACTGCCAGTGTGCAATCCCGCGGTGTGTGTGTGTGTGTGTGTGTGTGTATATAGAAAACAATAATAAAGGTGCATCCTGGGCTTAATTTTGTGCTTCTGGTTTACTGTGCAAACAAGATGATCAACGTTTCGACCTATTCGGGTCTTTCTCAAGATCTTGAGAAAGACCCGAATAGGTCGAAACGTTGATCATCTTGTTTGCACAATAAACCAGGAGTGCACCTTTTATTTTTGTTATACATATTTTAGCTTTTGCACTCCTACCTCCAGCCAATGATACCAGGTGCCCAGCCACACTGCAATATAAAAAAAAAAAATTGCCGGCACTCCTGGATTTCCAACTTCAAATGGTTTTATTGTCTTGGTCGACGTTTCAGTCCCTAACCTGGGACTTTCATCAGGACACACAAAATGATATCTTACAAACAATAGGCTTATGTACAGACTAAATTATTAAAATATTAATGACTCACCACCTTCAGCTGTTTCTCTCGTGGGACGGCTAACCGGTGACAGGGTGCCCAATTGAATCATCCGGATAATTCCCTGTGTGTAAGGGGTTGGGACTGCCCCTACACGTCATACTTCCAGCGTCTAAGCGTTGCCCTGGGAACCACCGATAACCATCAGTTATTGACTGTTCAAAGGTCTGCTGACCTCCGACGGAATCTGTGTGTGGGCACATGTAGGGGCGGTCCCAACCCGTTACACACAGGGAATTATCCGGATGATTCAATTGAGCATCCTGATGCCGGTTAGCAGTAACAGCAGACAGTATTATGACAGTCACAGTTAAATTGTCATGTAGAACTAAAGTTTTTTTTTTTTTTTTTTTTATTCTTATTTTCTCCCAATTTGTTGATATTTTATTCATGTTAAATTATGTTTCATAGCTAAATATTTGATGTTTAATAAAAGCCCTATTGTCCCTGAATAAAATGATATATAATAAGGGTGGGTGCACTTAATATGAAAGAGGTGAATTACGGTTGAACAGACATATAGCCAAATTCAAGTTTTTGTTTATATTTTGTTTTGATCACAACATGTACAATTGGCTCAGTCCTTAAGGGCAGGGGTGGACTGAGCACTCGGGCACATCGTCATGGACTGGACGCGCATGTGCATTCAGCTCAACCCGGGAGCCAACGTCGGAGGGGGAGGAGAGATC